CGCTGGCGCTCTTTGTGTTAGCCGTTCGCTGCGCCAGGGCGAGTACATCGGGATCCTGTACCGGTGCAGCGAGGGGCGTGCCCATGACGAGTCCACTGGGGAGGGAAGGGCACGTCCGTGACGCGTCCACTGCCGCGTGCCGCGAGGTGGAACAACCTGAGCGGGACGTACAAGGGCGAGGACGAAAAGTGCTACCAGACCGGAATCTCGACGAGTGGGAGGGGGCTGGACACGGCCGCGACACGGCCACGACGCGTCCACGACGCGTCTCCGTAGGTCTGCCGCTCGACAGGTTCTGGGCGCTGCACGCGGGGCCGAGGGACCCAAAGGACACGGACGCGGCGCGCTACCTGTCCTCGCACGGAGTGCTGCTGCGGCGCCGCGCCGCTCTCTCCTCTCCGCGACGCTGACCTCGAGAGGCGGCAGATCTCACCGACGTGCGACCGAGGCGTAGGCGCGCGCTGCTCCTCTCCGACGCCGACTTTGAGCAGGTGCGTCGGCAGTGGGACGGGTGCGTGCGGGCGCTCTGCCGCGACGACCAGTTCGCCTCCGCCACGCACGAGCGGCTCATCGCCGCGTCGGACGAGCGGTGCGACGCGGTGGGGCGATACGGCTACCTGTCGCTCGTCAGCGAGGCGGGCAACGCGATGGCCAGCGCCGACGCCGACGGCGAGGCGGGTGCGGCGGCGGCGGAGTCGTCGCAGACGGTGCAGCTGAGCAGGACCATCACCGCGAGCATGCTGCACGTCGCGCGGCGAAACTCGCGGGGCGGGTGACCGCGGAGGTACAGTGGACTCAGAGTTTGTGCGGGCTGTGGCCGCGCGTACTAGGTTTATTTCGTTGTGTAGCCATCTCTCATCATATAACACCTGCGGCCCAGCCTCTTGGTCTTGACCCGACCCACCCGCGCTCTCGCCACCCCGCACCCGGTGCTCCGGAGTCGCCAGTCCGCGCGCCTCCGCCCCCTCCCACCGGAAAATAGTTTCCCAAGGTAACATCGGCGCCTCGCCACACGAAAGGAAAGGGGCGCAGAACCGAACAATGACGTGTGAGTGTTAGAGTTGTTTGGTATTGGGTATTGCTAAAAATCTCTCAACGGTGGCATAAAGTGAATGATACAACTGCGCTGCCCGATCCCCTACCTGCCCCGGGTGTGAAACCCACACTGCCCTACCCTGCCCAGACCACACTGCCGAGGTGTGAATAACCGGCCGCTCGCGAGGTCTCGGAGAAACTTGTAGCCCGCGTACATGCATGTGGTGTGTCGCGGTCGCCCAGCCCAATGGCCGCGGCCGCTGAGTATAACCAATCGACGCTGCGATCCTGCACAGGTGCCGCACCTATCGGCATGGCTGCACGCAGTGCTGCATCCATGCAAAGTGAGAGTGCGAGCACTTCTCGGCACTTCTTTGCGGTCGGCGCTGTCCTAAAGAATGAGGCGCACAGCATAAAGGAGTGGCTTCATCACTATGTGAACGAGGGCGCGTCCGCCTTCATTTTTCTCGACGACAATAGCACAGACGCATCAGTGTCCATCGCACAGCAGTTCTTTGCCGCCACTCCTCGCATTTCCAGCGTTTTCATTCCACGGAACGCTGCTAAACATCGCTACGTGCAGCCACAGTTCTATAGTGAGCTTAAGGCGTACGTTGAGCAGATGGGCGTGGAATGGCTACTCGTGGCTGACTTGGACGAGTTTGCTTACTGCCGGCTCGAAAACGTCCCGATCCGCGAGATGCTGCGCCGCGATCGGTATCGAGGCGCAGACCTGGTGCACCTGCCGTGGCTCGTCTTCGGTGCCAATGGGCTCGAGCGCACTCCGCGCTCTCTCGTACAGTCGTTCACCCGCCGCGCAGACTACGACGGTCAGGTATCCTGGTGGGCTGGCCCGAAGCACCACGACGTCAGCCGCACTCGATGGAAATGGATCGCGCGAGGCCGTTCAGTGTCGGACTTTGGCATCCACAATTGCGAGCTCCAGAAGGGCAGGCGTGCCATCTGTTCCATGACCAACTGTCCGCCGAGGATGAGCGAGGCGATCGTCAACAAGTTTGACATCGTCGTGAATCATTATCAGGTCCAGAGCCGCGAGTATTGGAGGGTGAAAATGGCGCGAGGTGACTCCAAGGGCGTCAAAAACGTTGGTGCGTTGAGTCGGACGATGGTGTGGTTCAATGAGCACAACAAGCACTGCAATGCGCTGTGCGACGACACGCTTGCGCGTCGGAGACAGCACGTGTATCTCCAACAGCCGAGAAGGAGGTGCTCTGGCTCTGCTTCGAGGACCTGAAGGAGGACTTGCCTCGCGAGGTGCGCCGCATCGCCGCCTGGCTACGACGCCGACGGCGCAGACGCGCCGCGGGTCGAGGCGGCGACGGCCAACTCGAGCTTCGAGTTCATGCGGTCGCACGGCGCGCAGTTCGACGAGCACTTCACGTTCGCCAGGCGGCGCGACGCCATGAAGAATAAAAGAGTGTGGTAGCTCCTTCTGCAACGGCGACGACCCGCAGCACACGTGCGAGGCGTGCTACTGCCCAGGCGACCTGGACGCCAGCACTGCGGCCGGGCAACGGTACCAGGCCGCGTGCTCCTGCTCCGGCGGCGGCGGCGGCGGCGAGGAGGGCGAATCCGGCGAAGGTTCGCCCTCGACGTCGCCGTCGCCACCTCCGCCGTCGGCCACGCCCTCCGCGTCGCCGTCACCCCCAACTGTAGCGGTTTCGCACTCAATCCTGCACATGGGTGGGGGTCACGCTCCGGCGGAGTGGTCGACCGACGCCCCTGGCTTGTACGGTTGGTCCTACTACATCCGGGCGTTCAACCTCTTGCGAGAGCAGCCGACGTCGGAGCTCGGGTGGGGGCAGTGGACCAAGCCTGGCGGCCACTCGGAAAGCATCATCGAGGTTTGCGGCCTCCACCCCGGAGGCTTTGTCTGCGATCCGTGCGAGGCGTGCAGGTCGGAAGGCAGCTGTAGTGATCCAGTTACTGGCGAGCTTGCGCCGGTAAGCAGCGGCTGCCAGGACCCGACGCTGGAGGACCCGACGCTGGCCAACTGCGGCAATCCGACCGACTACAGCAAGACTGAGCAGTGCGCATTCTGGGAATGCGGCACGGATACCAAAGGCGGCGTGCGTGGCTCCATTGAGGGTGGGATGGGGTACTGGATGTACACGCTTGAGACTCCGAACGTCAAGTGGATGCTGCCCGGCGCAACCAACGCGAACTACGAGATATTCGCGGGCACGTTCCTCGGCGACCGACCCCAGCTTTGCTCTGTCCTCGGCGGCGCCGTCCGCGTGAGCAACCGCCTGCTGGTGCCGAACGACTTCGTCACCTTTGCGGGCGGCGACCCCGATGGGTTCCTAGGATATATGCTGACCAAGACGCCCCTCGGCAAGCGATCCGCGAATGACACTGCAAACTACTGGACGATTGTCATCGACGCGGCCAACTTTGCCGGACCTGTGATGTACACTGCGGCCTGGTTCTGGGACAGCCGCATCAACTGGCACCCCAAATCAATCTCGTGGTCCGACCCGCGCGTCAACATCGGGTATATTGCCCAAGGCTTCGAGGGATCCATCGGCGCGTTCACCGCGCAGCAAGGCGGCTCGCAGTACTGGCGCACCACTCGATGGGCGGTACCGCGCGACCGCTTCAGCCCGAGCTCTTCGCCCAACACCTCGACGCTCTTCACGGGCCACTCTCAGTTCAACACCGACTGGGCGGCGGACGCTCTTGAGCCCATCTTGAGCGGGGCGGGTCTGGCCAGCGAGCGGAGTCACGCCGTCGTGCAGCAGCGGTCCGCCACGGCGGGCGCGAAGCCCGAGTGCAAAACGCCGCCGACGGGCGAGGGTGGCATGTCTGTGTGGCACGATGGCGGGACTGCCGAGGTCCTGTGGAAGGGATTCGGCATCGGCAGCGCTTTCGACCAAGCGCAGTCTGAAGCGGCGCACTGCGCGTCGGCGCTCTCACTCAATCCCTCGCATGAGGCCCTGTCATGCGACGAACAACGGTGTGAGGCGGCGGCGTTCCTGCAGGGAGGTCTCAGCGACTCGGACCCTCCCGTCGTCATCCCGGCCGAGGCTGTACCGTCCGAAGTCAAGACGGGGTTCGATGCAGCAACCTTTGAGCCGACCAAGCGCAATGACGGCAGCTACCTCGGACCGCCCGCTGCGACGGAGGCGGCGTGCTTTGACCTGCCGGCTAGCCCCACCATGTACTGCACCGTCACCACAAGCAAGGCTTGGATCGGCTGGCGGTGGTACAAGTTTGTCGATCAGCCGGAGCTCTATATGGTCTTCGAGTCGCTTCCGGACGATGGAACTCGGCAGGCGGCGCGCGAGTACATGCAGGCGAGGATCGAGAGGCTCCATCGCCAGCAGGAGGCCGACGGCACCGGGAGGTGGTTCGCCCCACCGCAGGGCGACGATGCGCTTCCCGCCGACAAGGTGTCGATCGATCCCGCCTTGCTGCTGACGCCGCCGGCCGGCTTCGAGTATGGCTACGTGCCGGTCGCTGTCTATCAGCGGCCGCGCGTCAAGCCGGCCGAGTGCGATGTCGAGGTCAATGTCGCTGACCCTCGGCCGGAGCCGCACCCCGAGTCTTACTGGGAGGACTGCACCAGCTCCTCGGGCATTCGCAATCCGAATTGCAACAGGCCTGCGGGTAGCTACGAGGTCGAGACCTGCTCCGCAAACAACGAGTCACGAGCCGCGTTCAACTACCCAGGCCGTATCTATGGCTACTGGCCAGGCGGAAGCCAAGACGACCGCGTGCCTCTCGACGTCCCAACTCGCGACAGCCTACCAACCCGTGCTGCCTAACCTTCCCCGCCGAGGCAGTTCGCCCCTTCACTTCCCCCGTTTGTCTGCTTCGCTTTGGACTCTAGTCTGGACTCTGCACAGCGCTCAATGTGTCCACACAGCGGCGTTCCGCGCTCTCCCCCCTCCGACTCCACTCTGACTGTTTCCGGCCTTGACCCGCGTGTGTGTCCCGCGCGCGAAAGAGGACGGAACCGGGGTCTGAGGCGTGCCGTCGTCCCCCTCGACGGCTCGACGGTCGACGCCCCTCCCCACTGTTGAGCGGCAGCTCTCGCGGGGTCTCGCGCCGGTCTCGACACACTGGGTCCGACACCGATCACCGTACTCTATCGTACTCTCTCTCGTGGTCTCGCTGCATGTTGGTTTGTAGTGTACGTGCGTAACCGTATGTATTGGCGCTCTGTGCCCTGGCTATCGTCTATCGAAAGCGCCGCGCGGCCCCCGCGCCGCCGCGCCGGCCGCCGCACACGAACCATGTTACTGGGCTGGGTTTTTTTAGGCATTGTGGGGTTGGCACTCCCATCGACCCTCATGACCTCCTGCGGTCTCTGAGATGGACACCAGTGGGTGTGGGACCACAGCCAGGATACACTCGAAGGCTGGGTAAGCAGTAGAGGTCGATACTCGACGCGTCCCACATGGTCTGTGTCGCTGTCGGCACGCTGTCGACAGGACGTCGAGCGACACCGGTGGCAGTGCCACCCAGGAGTGGTCGGGCGGTCTCCCGTCATGAGAGAGCCACCATGTGATCCGTATGGTGATTCCTGACAACCGCCTCAGTCAACTTTCGTCACAGTTCTCGCTCTGAGAGGAGCTGCGGGTCAGTTCGACAGCTGGAGCTGTGTCGCCGGATTGCGGCGGCCTGCCTCCGGAGGTGCCTCTAGGTGGACATTTTTTGGTCACCGTGAGAGAACGCGTTCGAATTTTCACTCCGGAACTTCAACTCCGCACGCGCACCGGCCAGGGCTACAATAGTGCCAGTGAGGCGGAGGCGCGAGTCGGAAGCAAGTGTTCCCGTCATTTTCCTACCTGTGAATAAAGTGGAGCTCCGAGATAGCGCGAGATCGCCCGAGATCGCGCGGCGCGGCCCGAGATCGCCCGAGATCGCGCGGCGCGGCCCGGGGCGGAGTGGATGGGTTGGGAGCGAGGGGGCGGAAGTGTTCAGTGCGGTAGATGGCGAGCTCGGGGCGCGTGAGCCGGACTTGTGAGCCGGACCACCTCCTCTTGTTCCCTGCGTTGTTGAGCCAGGACTCAACATACTCGGGCTTGCTCATCCCAAACTGTCACTCCCCTTTCTCCCGGCCGGGGTGGGGCGCGCGCGCGGGCGGCGGGTGTGCGGCGGGTGTGCGGGATGTCTGTGGGCCCGAGAGCGATATGCCATGTCCGCCTTGCGTTTGTTTCATAACATCGAAGGCTAAGCTCATAAATAAAACGGGCAAACTCAGAAAACTCTGTGACGGACGGACGGAAAAACACCCCCTTCTATGCCTGACCCTGGGCATGGTCTCTCTGGGGGTGAGCTGGGTCGGCCACCTCCGGGGCTGCAACTCGCACGGTGGGTCCGCTTCCGGGCGAGCATCCGAGGCCTGCGGTTGTCCTTTCGCTGGGCGCGACCGCCATGGAGATCCCCTGCACACAGATCTGTGTTTTTGGCGACTATTGCTCGCTCTCTGTGCAATCGCGACGCCAGAGGCCGTGCTTGGAGAATGGGTCGCGATGCTGCTGCGACAGTGGATTGAGCCGCTCCGCAAGCTCCATCGGTGAGCTGCGGTGGCGCGCCAGCCGCTTCATGCATAGCTCTCGGGCGAGCTGCCGCAAACGCGTTTCCGTCCGCCCGTTTCATCGAGTTTGCCCGAGTGGTAAAATGCAATCGAATTTGCCCGAACTTTGCTTTGCCGATCAAAAGCGCCCTTCCTTTGCTTTTTAGCCGCCGAAATTTAGCTGGCTGTTTTTTCTTTATAGGCGTCTGCAACTTCCAAGCTGCGTATTCTTCTTGTATTATCGTCGAGTAGTGCAGGTACTCCGTGGGGGCAGTATGTATTCTTGTAAGATGTGCGTATTCTCGTCTCACTGGCTCCGAGTAGAAAAAGAAAGAAAACTAGTGTCTGGTGTTTACTAGCTCCGAGTAGAGGGGGCGTTCCGCCGCTAGGGGACACCCAAAGCGCAGAACTAACCCTCGGAGACCCGTGTTTACTTTAAGGCCCTTGCCCTGCGAATGCGCGCCCCCCCCTAGCTAGGGGTCAGGGCTCTCTAGCCCGTAGCCCGATGCCGATCATCCGGCCCGCTGGATGCGCTTCTCAGCTCACCGGCCCTGGATGTGAGGTTGCCGACTGCACTCCAAGGCTAGTTCCATTTCAGATTCCATTTCACTGTGGCACAGCTCGCGTTACAAAACCTTGATTTTGACCATTGCGCGAAAAAGGTACATCTCGGTGCCTTCCAGAGGCAGCTGCGACCCCGCCGAGTAGACGGCGGCACACAGCAGGTGGCGCGGTGTGACGCCGTCCACTCAGCGGGGTCGCAGCTGCCTTCTGCGCGTCCTGTGGATGTACCTTTGTCGCGCGCCGGAGATGACTCGACGCCGCTGAGATCGGAGATTCAAGCTCTGACAGGTCGCACGTCGCTCCTTTGACGCCGACGTGACTCACCCGTGCAGATCACATCAGGACACGGTCTCGACGCGCTCGGTACGACGCCTGCGACCCGTATCGGGTCAGGTGGCACGACGCTCATCGCGCCTACCAGCGCTGCCGTGCAGGCTGCCACGACAAGGTCGAGCACGCTTCTATACGCTCGCCGAGCCTTCCTTTCCATCCCATTTGGCAGCCTGGGAACGGTGGCGGTCAGAGGCAAAGCATACGAGGGGTGGTGGAACCACATGTCGCGGCTACTGCCGGCTCGACCCCACGATAGCCTCCGAAGGCTGACTTTGAGGCACCATCATCGGACGACGTCGGCGAGTTGAGTCGCGCTCGCGGTAGCCAGATGACCTCTCATACTAGTATCATCGGCCATGGCCGCAGGAAGCTCGGGGGAGGGCGCTGGGAGCAACACGGAGCTCCGTTGGACGTTTTCAAGATTAGCGTGTCAGAGTGAATTGGACGACTAGCCCAAGTAAGGTAAGGTAAGGTAAACTTCTCCACACACACGAGGTGGTGGGGCAAGGGGGGGCAACCCTCGCGTCTCCACGTCTGACGACAGGAGCCCCACGGCATTCAAAGTGCAAGGCCCAGTGCGCGTGGGTGAGCGGTGTGTGTGTGTGTGTGTGTGTGTGTGTGTGTGTGTGTGTGTGTGTGTGTGTGTGTGTGTGTGTGTGTGTGTGTGTGTGTGTGTGTGTGTGTGTGTGTGTGTGTGTGTGTCTCACGTCACTGCATCCTCCGCCGGTTCTTCCCGTCGCCTCTTCTTTGTTCGAATGTTTTTCAATCCATCCTTCATGAAGCCCTCCCATGTAGCTAGCGTTCTTGGCGAATGTCTCGAAATGGCCAGCAGGCGCTGTCTGCTCGCGGTCTGTGCGGGCCGCTCGTCCTCCTCGCCCTTCTTTCGTCCTCCCGTCCCTCCCCTCCACCATGGCCTTCTCGGCACTTCTTTCTCCATCCGCCTCGCCCTGCCTTTTCGCATCGTGCCGTTCGCCCTCCATTCGGTGACCTCCATGGCTGTCCGCCCCTTTTTGGGTGGCGCTCTCGATACGGTTGCGTCAACCTCGACGTCGCTGTCGCCCTCCCCGTCCCCGCCGGCGTCCGTGCCTCGGTTCGCTTCATCGGTAGCGTCTCCGTTGTTCCCTCGTGCCCCGCCGTCGCCCTCTCTGCTCGGGCCGTTAGCGATTTCGCTCCTCCTGCGTGTCGCCCCTCCGTCCCCTCCCCTTTCTTCGTCGTCATCGTCGCTGTCGCGAAAGCCCTCCGGTCCCTCGATTCCCTCGCCTATCCCCTCCGCTGCGTCGTCCCAGTTTATATCCTCATCCTCTGCGCACGTCGCGTTGGCTTCCTCTCTCCCCCTTTCCTCCCTGCCCCTCTCGCTGTCTGGTGTTAATGGACCCCCTTCCTCTCCCTCGCCACCGTCACCGTCTCCGTCCCCGTCGCTACCGCCCTCCATGCCCGCCGCCCTTTGTTTCACACTCGTCTCTGCCATGTCCGCCGTCGCCGCCGTCCTGTCTGCTGCGCTCTGTGCTCCGTGGTACAGTCTCTTATTATTGCTCAGGATTAGCTCACGCACCAGGACAGCCTCCTGCTCGTTATTTTGGCTTGCCGATATGCATCCAAAGTTCCACGCTAGCTCCTCCTTCGTCACGTCTATCTTTTTGCAGTATCTCGCGAATGCCGTCCGCGCTTGCTGGGGTGTTATTGCGTTCGGATCCGCCCTGGTCCCCGCCCTGTATCCCATCTTCTTGCGGTGGCTCCTGTATGAGTCCCCATATGACCATGTGATTTCTTGGCCTTCCTTGACTCCCCTTTCTGCAAAAGGAACCAATTACCTTGCCCGGCTTCCTTTGCCTTAATTGGAATCCCCCCCCAAAAACGAACAAAATGGCATCCGCCCCTCCGGCCCTCGGTTTCGCGCCAATTCCAAAGCTTGCCAGGCGCAATTCAAAATTTACCCC